TACAGAACCCTAAAGAGAGAAATAGAAGAAGATCTTAGAAGATGGAAAAATATACCCTGTTCATGGATAGGCAGAACTAACATCATCAAAATGGCGATATTACCAAAAGTTCTCTATAGGTTTAATGCAATGCCAATCAAAATCCCAATGGCATTTCTTGTAGAAATAGATAAAGCAATCATGAAATTCATATGGAAAAATAAAAGACCCAGAATAGCAAAAGCAACTCTAAGCAGGAAGTGTGAATCAGGCAGTATAGCAATACCAGATTTCAAACTATATTACAGAGCAATAGTAACAAAAATAGCATGGTACTGGTACCAAAATAGACAGGTGGACCAATGGTACAGAATAGAGGACACAGAGACTAATCTACAAAGTTACAACTATCTTATATTTGATAAAGGGGCTAAAAGCATGCGATGGAGGAAGGATAGCATCTTCAACAAATGGTGCTGGGAAAACTGTAAATCCATATGCAACAAAATGAAACTGAATCCCCTCCTCCTGCCATGCACAGAAGTTAACTCAAATGGATCAAGGAGCTTGATATCAAATCAGAGACTCTGCGTCTCATAGAAGAAAAAGTTGGCTCCGATCTACATATTGTGGGGTCGGGCTCCAAATTCCTTAATAGGACACCCATAGCAAAGAGTTAATAACAAGAATCAACAAATGGGACTTACTTAAACTAAAACAGTTTTTTCTCAGCAAGAGAAACAATAAGAGAGGTAAATAGGGAGCCTACATCATGGGAACAAATTTTTACTCCTCACACTTCATATAGAGCCCTAATATCCAGAGTATACAAAGAACTCAAAAAATTAAACAATAAGATAACAAATAACCCAATCAACAAATGGGCCAAGGACCTGAACAGACACTTCTCAGAGGAGGACATACAATCAATCAACAAGTACATGACAAAACGCTCACCACCTCTAGCAGTCAGAGAAATGCAAATCAAAACCACCCTAAGATACCATCTCACTCCAATAAGATTGGCAGCCATTATGAAGTCAAACAACAACAAGTGCTGGCGAGGATGTGGGGAAAAGGGTACACTTGTACATTGCTGGTGGGACTGCAAATTGGTGCAGCCAATCTGGAAAGCAGTATGGAGATTCCTGGGAAAGCTGGGAATGGAACCACCATTTGACCCAGCTATTGCCCTTCTCGGACTACTCCCTGAAGACCTTAAAAGAGCGCACTACAGGGATACTGCCACATAGATGTTCATAGCAGCACAATTCACAATAACTAGACTGTGGAACCAACCCAGATGCCCTTCAATAGATGAATGGATAAAAAAAAAATGTGGCATTTATACACAATGGAGTATTACGCAGCACTAAAAAATGACAAAATCATGGAATTTGCAGGGAAATGGATGGCACTAGAGCCGATTACGCTAAGTGAAGCTAGCCAATCCCTAAAAAACAAATGCCAAATGTCTTCTTTGATATAATGAGAGCAACTAAGAACAGAGCAGGGAGGAAGAGCAGGAGGAAAAGATTAACATTAAACAGAGACATGAGGTGGGAGGGAAAGGTAGAGAAAAGGGAAATTGCATGGGTATGGAAGGAGACCCTCATTGTTATACAAAATTACATATAAGAGGTTATGAGGGGAATAGGGAAAAAAAAAACAAGGAGAGAAATGAATTACAGTAGATGGGGTAGAGAGAGAAGATGGGAGGGGAGGGGAGGGGAGAAGGGATAGTAGAGGATAGGAAAGGTAGTAGAATACAACAGTCACTAATATGGCATTATGTAAAAATGTGGATGTGTAACCGATGTGATTTTGCAATCTGTATTTGGGGTAAAAATGGGAGTTCATAACCCACTTGAATCTAATGTATCTAATATGTCAAGAGTTTTGTAATGTTTTGAACAACCAATAAAAAAAAATTTCTATACCAGAGGGTGATAATAAAAACAGCCAAGGACAAAAATTTTAGTCAAAATAACATAGGCCTGTGTCTCTCCCTTTATGGGCTCGACTATGCCCTACATTATGACTTTGTATGAACAGAGGACCTGTTTCAGTTATTTTTTTTTTTTTGTCTCTGTGACCAAAGACCTGACAAGAACAATTTAGAGGAGGAAAAGTTGATTTTGGTTCACGGTTTCAGAGGTTTTGTCTATGGTCAGCAAAATCCATAGCTCTGGGCCTTAGGTGAGGCAGAACATCATGGCAGATTGTCATGGCTGGAGAAAGCAGCTCAGGACATGACAGCCAGGAAGCAGAAAGAAGGTTCTGCTCATCACAGACAAAATATATGCTCCAAATGCACAGCCCCAGTGACTACCTCCTCCAGCCACATCCTACCTGCTTACGGTTAAACTCAGTTAATTCCTCTCAGGGCAATTAAAACACTGAGTAAGTGAAGACTCTCATAACCCAATAATTTTTCCTCTAGATGTTCTTGAACTGTCTCCACATGAGCTTTTGTGGGACACCACATATCAAACCATAACACTGTGGTCATTGTTATCCAACTTTATCTCAGTCCAAAGAGAAATTGTGTCTTCGACTCCTTATACCAGATTCTAGTCCAGCTAATCCCATTTCTAACCTGGCTAAATCCAACCCAATACCCATATAAAATGTGATTCATGTTTCAATAAGAAACAAAAATTATCTTCTTGAAGTACAATGAATACTTCACTATTTCTGTTAATTTTTTCAGATCTTTTGGGGTTAAAACAAACAAAAACATGTAAAGTGTTCAAAGCATTTAGCACTCTTTGAATCAAAATTTATGTAGTGGACACTTACTAAAAGAATTACGTTACCTGTTTATTATGCAGTTACAAAAATGAGTCATGTGTTTTTACTTTTCTAACCATTTGTCTTATTAAATGAGAATACATGGAGAAGAGGAACTTGTATTTATTACCATAATGAATTAAAGGAAAGAAAACAGGGAAATCTCAGGATTTCTCAATTATAAAAACATAATGGGATAGGGTTGTAGTTCAGTGGTAGAGCACTTGCCTCATGTAGGTGAGGCACTGGGTTCAATTAGCACCACATATAAATAAATAAAGGTCCTTCAACAAGTAAAAAACCATTTTTAAAAAATGGACATCATAATAAAATATTTCCAGAGAGAAGCTAGATTGAAGAATATTACATTCCAACCTTGAGCAGGCTACTGCCATTGGGGTCCCAGCAAAACACTTTCTCTAGCTGGTGGTTGCAAAGGCAGTCAGAGGCAAACATAGAATACTTACCCTGAAAGTTGAAATTCTTGGAATCTTACTCAGTGTCAAGTTTTGGAAATATATGAAATTAAAATTTGTGTGTGTGTGGAGGGGGGTGGGTGGGTGGGTGTATGTCTGTTCATCTAATCTATTTCTTCCTATGGGAGAAAAACTATATAACTGTTCTCAGATATTCAAAAAGCAGTAGGACCTTTTTCTATACAAATTTTAATGTGTGAAAAAAATAACTTTTATGAGAAATGAAGTCCCAGGCTGCTGAGCCAAATGAACATAAATACAACTTAAAAAATATTTTCTGGAACATTTCAGATGCTGAGGTTATATTGGCCAGGTTTCTCACATAAAGCAAATTTTCAATGCTTTTGTGAGTAATAAGCTATTACTCTTGGTAATAAAGATATTTTGAAATGATGATTGATTTGTATTAAGATGAAAATTAAATATTCAACTACTATCTGCTTTTAGTTTGTTTAAAATGACTCCAAGCCCTTACACAAAATTTAAATGGTCATTTTAATTGTTTTATGATAACACATTTAAAATATTAAAAATGTGATTGGCTCTTTCTTTAAAATACTGAAGTGTTTGGCCTCCATTTTTTAACTGTAAAGTAGGAATAAAATTGTCATACTTTAGTTTTTTTCTTCTCAGTGAACATGCAGAAATTACACAGATCATAAGTTCATAGCTCAACAAATTTTCAGCAGTTGACCAAGCTCATGTAACTGGAATCTAGACCAAAACAACACAATGTTGGCATCATCCCAGGAGTCTGATTTTGACCTCATTTAGTCACTGCTCCCCAAGCATCCTCAATTCTAGAACTGGAGATAGCGTTCTGTTTTCAAACATGATGTCAATGTAATTATGCATTATATCAATTTGTGCTGGAGTATCCAGTTCAGCATTGTTTTTGACACTCATCCATATTGTTATATGTAGCATTAATCATTCACTTCTTTATTGTATTCCATTTCATAGTAGCAGTTTGTGGATTAACTCAAATATTAATGGAATAGGAGTTTCAGTTTGAGAATGAGAGGGAGTGTGGCTATGAATATTCATCCAAGTCTTTCATTAAATATATATATATATATATATATATATAAAATTATTATATATATAACATTATATATATAAATATATATTTCATTAAATATATATATATATACACACACACATACATACAAGTGTTGTTTATATACTTAAGTGTGAACTTCATATGGGGCAAGGGTATACGGCATATATGTCAGTTTTAATAGATACTACCAAACTTTTCAAAAAGTGGTTCTACCAATTTTCATTCTCAGGCACCTCAATGCAATGCTAAACCTAGCTCACAAGTTCCTCCCATGGCTGTTTCTATAGTTTTCTCAGTGAAAGGCAATACCATCTCCTAGGCTTGGCATCAAAGTCTGTAAAATATCAACATTCTTGCATTCTTGAATATCCATTGAGTGGCCATCCTTGACTCTTCCCTCCCTTTTCTCATAGTCAAGAATGGTCAAGTTCTGCTCATTGTATTTCCTAAACTCCTGATTTCATTGTTTTCTGTGCCAGTTTTTGAAAGTTCAGGACATCATTAATTTTTCAGGAGCATTACAATTGCCTTATGATGTCTCTGAACATTCATATTTGCTCATAAACCCACTGCACATAAAAGGATTGTTTTCTTGAAACTGGAGTCTGAGCATGTCATGCTGTTGCTTGAAAGTATCAATTTAACATCTGGTTCTACCAGGGGAACATTGTCTGTTTCATTCAGGTGCATTATCAGTATTAATCAATGTTTATTAAATAACGGTACAAGGAAACAAAGAATGTAAAGATTGTTTTACTGTCCATAGATATTTCTATTAACATGAAGGTAAGAAGTCTGAATATAAGACATAGTTTAATTTAGAAGTTGGTAATCAACATTGCCAAAGATTAATAAATAATATTGCACAAAGTAAACTTCCTATTTAAAGCAAGAAATACATTTTCCAGGATAGACTACACTGATCTGTCCAGGTTAGAACTATGTTCTAACAGGAGCACATGAAAGAGAACAATGAAAACTTGTCTGTGAACTGGTCTATTAGAAATGTTGTTCCTTAGATTGAAATGTTATACCTTAGGTGTCAGGATAGGAGGTCCAGTTGAAGACAGTGGGAGTCAAGCCTTTTGGTAACTCTGACCTCTAGCAGAATCTGGCAAATACCAGCATAATTTTTCTATGGTTTGGTGCATCCTCCAGAATTTACTTATTGGAAACTTAATCCTCACCTGGTATTGAGATGGGGACTTGGGCAGGAAATTAGGATGAGATGAGGCCCATCCATGAAGGTGAGGCTCCCATGATGGCAATAATGGTTTCAGAAGGAGAGAGACCCTAGTGGGCATGATCACTTATTCTAGAATTGTTCTTAAACTTCTGATAGTTCTTCCTTACCCTCAATTTCACTTTCAGTGGTTTCAGTTGCCCCTGGTGAACCATGCTTCAAAATTATTAAATAGAAAACTCCAGAAGGAACAAAACTACACATTCAAATGTCAAAGCACTCTGAATAACGTAACAATACCTTATGCCATTGTGCTCCATTCTGCCTATAATGTGAATCATCCTTTTGTCCATGTTTCCATACTGTATATGCTGTCAGTCACTTAGTTCCCATTTCAGTTATCAGACTAAGTACTGCAGTGCTTGTGTTCATGGAACCCTCAATACTGGTTCCAAAGCCGAGGAGTAATAATGCTGGGAATTTGGATGTGCCAGAAAGTACTTCCTTTGAGTGAAAATATGCAAGTTTTCAATTTGATAAGTAAAAAAAAAAAAAATCTTATGCTGAGGTTGCTAAGATCTAGGATAAAAATGAATTTTTATACATGAAATTTTAGAAGAAAAAAATTCATGTTAGTTTTGCTGTCACACATCAATCTGCAAAATTATGACCACAGGGTGTGATAAGTGCTTATTTAAGGCATTAAATTTTAGGGGCTGGTATTATCTGAGGTGTCAAGCACCCACTAAGGGTCTTAGAACTTCCCCCAAGGATATCAGGGATTCCTGTCATTGCATCAATATTAACATTTCACTTATAACTAACATTGATTTTTTTTTAACAATCAGTGTCTATTTAATCAATTAGCAATGTTTACCATATACAATCTATTAAAGGTTGATTTGGGCCTGATCTTATATCTCAGCTAATGTTTGTGTCCTAAACTTAAGGCTGAGAATTCCAGTCAGGCTACAGAGGAAAAACGTCTAACTAATGATGCCTTCTTGTAGGGAAAATTGTTTCATTTTGAAATTGTATAGCAAAAGAACAACAATAAAGCATTGGTTCCACTTTTAAATAAATAAGGGGTTATTTTGCTGCTGAAAGTTTTCATTGAAATGACTGATCAGATCTCACATGTCTGCTTAAAAATGTCTGACTTAGGTCGTTACAAAATGACAGACTATGATAAACTGGATGATAGTTGGGAGCAAGACAATGAGGCATTGTTTACACAGAAGATTGAGTAACCGGTTTAACAAAAGAGGTTCTTGGGTATCTATTGTATGTACAACTAAGAGATTTACTGGGGCTTTTATAATTTCTGCAAGGCTCTTTTCCAGCCAGCTTCATTAACTTGAAGTAAATCAAATCATGCAGAAATCTGGCTCAGCCAGAAAGAAACCCAGGAAGATGCAATATGAAGAAAAACAGACACAAGATGATAAGGTTTAGAGTCTTTGGCATTTTTCATAAACATTTTGTTTGATATTATTAAATTACAACCCAGAAACAAAAAAAAAAATACCATAGTAAACTCACTATTAAATTAGGTCTTTTTACCTCAACTTTACTTTACAATACATATACATATATAAAATTGCACATACAAAGTATGTGTCAATAAAATACAATCTTTAAACTTTAAATATTATTTAAACAGAAAGATTTGCATATATTTTATATATGCACAAAATCAAGATTTTTCAGGGGATTACTGAGGAATTGTGGGGTATGCAGGAATCAAATGCCATTAAAAGAGGACTTTGGGGTGCTAAATTCTAGGAACAGGGTTCTAAAATTTTCATGGCCAATAGCTTACTTTTACCAGAAGGGAACCAAAGATAAATTTGGACCATCAAAATACTCTTTCTGTTCAAAACATTTGAGAAAATGAAATGATTATATTTAGGGAACACCCTGATTTATTAGTTTTTCTCTTCATACCTTTATCTTTCTAAATACTCAGAATTCATTTATTCATCACCTAAACCCCGCCTTTCAGAAGCCAGCTATTGACATTTTATTTGGAAATAAATAAAGTGAGAAGAAATGGCTTTTTAAGGCAGCCAAATACTTTCAGAAAACCCTAATTCTTCCAAAGAGTGGTCCCTTGGGACCTCCTGGGGCATCCATTGCCAGCAATGGACCATAATGTAGGCTGGTATCCAGCACCAAGGGGTTACCAAAAATTTACATATATGTTCATGGTAGTGATTGCTAAAGATTTGGGTGTAACTATGTTAATTATTATAAAATCTTTTTGTAATATACATTATTTGAATAGATAGCTACCATAGACTTAATTCAGATGAAACTTGCATGAATGATAATCTGAAAGGAGGGTGGGGGTGGGAAGTAGAAGTAACTGAATCTCAGAATCTCTTGAAGGCGTGAAAACCAGTTTGTCACTCTCAAACCCAAGTGGTCTCTTGGTTGTTCTTAAGGAGGGACTTTAGACCCATGGGAGCCTTGCTTCAACTCCTATTTGAGAGTGGATGTGTCTTTCATAATCTCAGAATTGGTTCCTTTTGCTGGGATGGACATCTATGCAAATGATAGAACACCCCATGTGGAGGGGTGGGCACAGGAGTGTCGGCATCTGTGCACATGAAGAAGAGAAGAGCATATCATGGTCTCCACCTGGCACACACTTCAGGTCCCAGAGGACCACTGAAATAGCTGTGACATTGATCTGACCGAGTGCACAATATAGGATGCTAGAGTCTGTGTGCGTCTTAGAGAGCGCTGCGCTTCTTCCGAAGGGGGCTGCCACTGCCACAGAGTTTCAATTCCGCATACTGCACCTGTGAAAACAAACAGACGTGTTGCTGGCAGTTAGGTAACCCTAGCTCACCACAGAGTGTGTTAATGGCTCCCCAAGGACAAACCAAGGCAAAGGAAGGAAGGTTCAAAGGTAATGAATCATTTTCTAAACACAGGAACATGGAGGGATTAATTGCAGGAAGGATTTGAGAAGTCATGCATCATTTCTTGAAACCAAAATATTAAAAGCAGATTTTTCTAATGAGATGCATGGGTTTCTACCTGCTCTGGGCACTGCTCGATGATCTTAATTTTGTGCGCGTCAGTTCTCAACCATAAGTAAGTTTAATAACTGCCTCTTGGGAATGTTTATCTTAGTATATGATATAGCAACTTAGAATTATTCATTTAAAAACTATCTAAAATCTTGGGGAAAAAAATCACAGACAATTATGGACATTTATTTTGTCTAACAGGGGAAAAATGCTGAAATTGATACTGGGTACCAGATTTTATTATAGATTTCTCTTAAAAATTAATTTCATTTACAATATAATGGCTAAAACATCTGTGATAAATATGAGTGCTCGGTGATTCCCCAGGGCACACTGTCAAGGTGTTATTAGACACTGCCCTTGGTGAGACGGGGAGGATCTTACTAGCATGCTGCATGTCCTTCTTAGATGCTCTTTTGTTGTATGTCTCTGTGTTCATGCCAACTCCAACTGGATGACCACTCAGAGCTGTTGCTTGGACCATGCACAGACAACCCTTGGGGGCTTGATGGAAATTGCTATTCTTCAAGGATAGTGTATGAACTCACACTGCGACCCAAGTGATGGTACAGTGCAAATGTATTGCTTTGGTGTGTGAGCTTTGATAGGCTGCTGGTGGAATGCCTTTATTTAAGCTATTGTATTACAGACCACATGTGTTCACTATTTTTAGCATTTGTGCTAAACTCCCCAAGAACATGAGGCCCAATCACAGATTAGTCTCTACTTTGCCAAAAACAGATAAAAGAAAAACAAAACAAAAACAACAACAACAACAAAAAAAAAAAACCCACCGTTTTCTTCCAGTGTTTTGTAAAGGTTTAGTTAGGGGAGCAGAGAATGACATACCTGTCAGTCTTCAGTGCAAAACACAAGCAAGGTTACTTTTTAATTATATAATTTAAATGTTAAAATACATTCTAGGAAGATGAATTTACTCTTTAACAGTTATAAAGTGAAGGTTAAAGAAAAAAAAAGTCCATTTTAATCTCCAGAACTTGAAATGAAGGGGAAAGGAACTCTAAGACCTTTAAGCCCTATTTCTCCATGATCCACTCAGATGCTGGGGAACAACTACGTCACAGTGGCCCAATGGTGAAAACTGATACTTGATTTGGGATTCTCTCAGATAACACAATATTGTTATCTTCGATGATATTTCATCCAATGTCTCCCCATCAACCTATTCTTCATTAGTGAAATTGCTGCCTGCCTTCCTTCCTCAGGATTTATACCAGGCTAATCTGCAGGGACCCACGTTGAGCTATTCTTCGGGACTTTCTCTTATTGTTGTCTTCATTAATCTCTGAGCATCCACAGAAATGAGACGCTGCTGGATTAAGTGACCATTACCTGTGAATAATACCTGTGATTGATCTCAAATTATCTCATGCCATCTCTTCCTCTCCATGTAGCAAAGTAAGTGGGGGATTTGCCCTTACCATCTTTAAGTCTTTACAGGAAAGGGGATAGAAGGGAGGCCCAGGAGATAATCAGGGCAAACAAGAATAAAAAGAATAATCCTCCTGTTCCCTATTCCCTATAAATGCCTGCCATCCGGAAAATGGAAGAAAATAAGTATCACTCCTCAGGTTTGGATCTCCTGCAATTGCACTTACTGAGCCCATCTTGTCCTCTTTAGGGAGGTAAGCAATCAAAAAGGGCCAAGCATCAGTACACTGCAGCTGCGCGGTATGAGTTCCAGATCCTTCTTTAGTAGCTCTTTTTCAGGATAATTTCCCCCAATCATCTCATGCTTTGGACAAAGCTGCCTTTTTTTTTTTTTTTTTTAATACCACCTCCCTGCAAGCCAGGCCTCTTTAGGGCTTTTCAGATTCCTTATCTCAATTACTCACATAAGCAGAGTCTCCTGGTCCTTTAGCTCTGAGGCTGGCTAGAACTCAGTGTTGGAGCCCCTGTTGTTGGTGAGCACTCATTACATACCTTTTGAACGTCAGAAGGAACCCTGGAGAGGAAGTCTAGTAGCTCATTATTGTCGATGGCAAAGGGATTTCGGAGCTTCTTGGTAAATTTATTTATGCCTGAAAAATAGAAACACCAGAGAGCTTTTTGTCTTTCTGTCTACCTACGTCCCTATTTTTAAAAATCTTGCCTGACTTGGGTGTGTGTGGAGGGGTATTCACAAGTAAAAATTAGTGTGAAAACAATTACTAGACTTCAAGTCATGCACATGTTGCTGTCATGTGGAATCATTCACAAATGCCTTTTCCTGGAAGAAGGTGGAGGGGGCGGGGGAAGAGGGGCTCTGCCTTCTTCAGCTGTGAAAATCCCATTACAGTCCCAGCAGCAGGGCAGCAGAAACAAGCACTAAAACTGGAGAGCTCATTGGCTTTTTTGGAATATACTGATTAACAGCCTCCTTTGCTATGAAAACAAATGTCCCAGATGGGAAAAGGCCTTCATTAGCCAAAACAAGCCCCTACTTGGAGGCTCTGGACCCCGTGTAGCTGTGGGAGGTGGAGGGCGGGACTTTCTTGTTGTTAGAAAGAAACTGCAGCAATCTCTCTCCCCCCACCTCCAAGTCATTTTCACAGGATTCTCTTCTCTCACAGCAGAACAGAACTTGACATGTTGATTGTACTTTGATGCTGCAGGAAACTGTGAAAAGTTATTATTGGAAAATTATCTTACTATGGTTGCTAACTTAATTTGGGGACTGCAACACTGGAGAGTGGGTTTGTCTGGACAATGGAGTATGTGCTAATTTAGGATGGGGACGATGGTTATTACAGAGGGGTTCAACTTTTAAGATGTGAGTCCACTGTAGAGCACCCACCTTTGGTGGCTGCACTTTGGGTTCCTGTATCTGCCCAGGACACACTCTGCCCATGGTTTCCTCTTTAGTGAAGAGGTCCTCTCCACCACCTTTTGTCTTCCACTGTGCTCCTTGGGGCTACTTTGCAGGTACCCAGAGCTCACAATCTGTAGTCTTTTCACCAAAATGTCAACCCCTTTTTCATGTTGAGTGTTAGAAGCAGAAAGACTAGGTGGCCTTCTGAAGTTTTGCCACGGGGTGCTTGTTTAACAAGGATCATATCTGAAGGCCTGTCAGTCCCAATGACCGCTGAATGGATTCTTAGCTTAGTTGTGCTCTGAATGGCTCCTACTCAGAAGCCAAGTTCAACAGTCCCCCAACACATAAAAGGTTTGATGTTTTTCTTTGTTCATTAAATATTACTTTGCTTTCATCTCAGGACTGGACTTCCTGCATGGCATTATACCTGACACAATGCCAACCTCCAGTCCATTCTTTGGGGGGTCAGATTTACATCTGCTTTGCAAATGGGGGCCAGCCATTGTTCATGAGTAAATGGTAGCTTGGTGGCTGGGCTAGGGAAGGTTCCCAGCAAATGATTCCCTTTTCCTCAAGTCAAAGCTGCACTCTGCCTTTCTTCCCTCTACCCCCACAGCAAGCTTCATGTTTCTAACTAAAATTTCCCCCAGTGTTCCTTTAAACTAAAATACTCTCACTGTGTTATTCTAAAGACATTTAATTGTAGCATGGGCTTTTTGGCAAAAGAAAACAGACAAGGCAAAATGATGAAGGGAGACAAAGACGTATTGAGAAAAGATATATCTTCTATTGTTAATTATATATAGCGTGCGCATCTGGAGTCTTTACAATGAACAGCAAGGCAGGGATAATATCACAGCCGATCAAAACACGGCATTCTCAGCCACTGAGAAGATTATAAACCTGCACAGTAGCTCAAATGCACCGATAAAGGCCGAAGTAGTCCACAATGCACTGAGACTGTCTATGTTTGAAAAAGTTAGAATAAAAATTACAAGGCATTCAGATTGCATGCTTCAAAAGCACACCTTATTTTTTAGAGGTATCCCAGGTTTGACTATTGCAGTAATTCCAACATACTATTTATTATGTGAGATCCAGGGCCAACAGGAGATCACGGACTTCTTGGTCATTTTTAAGGGCCAATACAACAAAGGTGATGGTGCAAGAATCCCTGGGCCTCAGTTTCAGCTACATGATACATTAACTGTGTGATTTCAGGCAAATCACTTAACCCTCCTCTGCATTATAACTGACCCAAGGCCAACCTCTAAACTTCTCATGAAATTTTAATGAAAAAAACTGCCCTATGTAATGTCTAGGGTTGATAGAATCATGCTGGATAAGATATGTGAAAGAATTCTGTAATTCTACATCAATGGAGGGGCTGCAATCATTACTGTGGGTATTAATAAGCTAGGAAGCCAAAGAAGGTCCGTAGGGAAGAGTTTTCATACATGATCACAAGAAAAATCTGAATGTGTGGCATCATCTAGTAGGATACTAGATGTAAATTTAAATTTTAACCTAAATGATACACATAGAGAGGTCTATCTGCTGTTAAAAAACAACAACAAAAAAGCAAAACTTTTTTTTTTTGCTATGATAAAACAAGTAAGATCTAAGTCCCAAAGGATAGCATTTGGGAAAGAGACTATCATTCAATGGTGATGGAGCTCAGAATAAATAAATGAGTAGGGTGGAAGGAGGGCTTCAATGTAAAAATAAATAAATAAATAAATAAACAAACAAACAAATAAATAAATAAATGTGGGGAAAGAGGATATGGAAAATCTCATGACTGCCTTACACTCAGTAACTTGAAAATAAGCACTCAAAACAGAATAAGAAGTTTTCAGAAACTTCTATAAGTAATGGGCATGTAACTCTTCAGTGTGATTCCATGGGGTCTATACAGGATCCTTGCTTACTCATTTTTCAAACCCTGAGCACCTTTCATATGAGAGCTGTGATGCTATCAACTAGAGATACAAAGTTAAATCCTGGCTCCCCCTTGCAAAACACCCCAAACTTAAAAGTAGAGTCCAAGATTGGGAAGCTATAGCTAGGCTCTGTGATGAAAAACTGAAAGAATATTGGGAAACTCTTCAACAGAAAACATGAATGCAATCAAATCTTAGGACTGCATGACTGATGTGATTCTACAACATGTACAATCAATTAAAAAATTAAAAATTATACCCCATTTGTGTATGATATATCAGAGTGCCTAAATGCATTCTACAGTCATGTATAACTAAAACAAAATTAAAAAAGAAATTTAAAGATACTTTACCATCTGGATATATATCAAGTGACTAAATTCCAGTAGATATTTTTCTACAGAAAACTTCAGATATCCCTCTTGAAATCTACTTCTCAATTTCTAAAAATCACAGTTCCACACAAGAGAAGTGGTGGGCTCAAGAAAGAGTCGCCTATGGAGAGTACAGGTGTGGAGGCTGAGACTCATGCACTCAAAGGATTTTTTGATTGCTCATTAAAGATTTATATCTATGATGCTGCATCAAGAATCATAAAGAGGGAAAAAATCATTAAAGAGGGAAAAAACGTGTTTCACCCATCAAAACATTACAGTAAATTGGAGTCCAGGAATATTTTCATATGCTTATGTCAAATAATTGATTTTAAAAATAGTTATACAAAAACATTATTTCCAGGTATAGAACATGAATATCTAGCAAAATGCTAGGCTCTTATTCATATGTTTAAGACTCCATAAAAATAAATAACTTCATATGGTCCAGGAGACATTCTTAAAGGAACATTATAAATTTGACATATATCTTTTCTCATGTGAGAAAGCATCTGCAGGGGACAGAATCATATAAAAGATATGCAAAACATTGTACTGGACCTACAGTAGCTAGTAACTACCTTGCCTTGAAAATGAATAAGTTTTAATGCAACTGCAAAATGTACTCCAGGATGGAAAGGCAAGTTTTACATGATGAAATCATGGATTAATTGTCAAGGCATTTGTCCACTCTGTCTTTAGTATGCTCACCAGTAAACTATGAATTCCTGTATAGAAGGTGGAACCAAATCTCCAGAGGGTAAAGCTCAAAGGGTTACTGCTGGCTTGCGAGACAATAATAAAGTCCGTGCTGTTTAATAGTTTCATCCATAAACTGAACAAGAAATAGAGAAATGTTTCACTAAGTAGATGCAAAGAGTTGTTGGAAAGCTGCCAATATCTTGGAAGAAGTCAAAGTGATTTAGGTAAATAGAGGGGTTAGAATCCCAACATTGACAAAGGAGGAAATGGTACTGTTGGCCCTCTGTGTCTCTGGGTTGTACATTCTGTAATGAATGTATGCAGAGATTTCTTGTCATTACTCCCTAAACAATACAGCATAACAATTATTTACACTGAGTTTACAGTGTATTAATTATTATAAGTAAAATACAGGGGAGAATAGGTATAGATTATGTGGAAATACTGTGAAAATACAGAGGACTTGAACATCTGTAGATTTTGGTATCCACAGGGGGTTCTGGAATCAGGGATGACTGTATTAGTCGCCTTTGTGGAGGAAAGGAGCTCTATAAATAAATCATGTATGTACTAGTGTTTAACAGCAGACCATGGCATTCAAATTAGATAAGCTGTTTGAACAAAACAGTAGCCAAAGAACTGTAATTTTGAATCAGACCTGGTTAGGGACAGACAGCTATATGAAGGTATAAGTTGTAAATATGGTCAGGAATTGGAAACACAGACATACACACACACACACACACACACACACACACACACACACACACCAAAACACAAAATAACAACTGTGAAAGAATAAGATTATCCAGTCTATACAGATAATATTTAGCATATAGAGTACTCATGGGAATATTTTTTTTAAAAAAATCCTTCCTTAATCAATGAGCCATTAGAGAGGCCCATGTTCTTTCCTAATGACCAAAGTGCTAGCATTGTTGCAATGTAAAACAAACCTGTGCATGAGAGGCCTTTCCGAAAGTTGCAACAAGAGAGCTTTCAAGGAGGCACATTGTCTGAAGCAACAGCATAGAACCAAGTATTAACTCCTACCCCTCAGGAGAGGGTTAGAATATGTTTTTATTTTCTCTTCCTAGACATGCAACAAGGTCAGAGGCTTCTTTAGATATGATTTTCAGCTCAAAATACTGTAGAGAATGATTGGATTATATTCTCAAAATCCTTCTAGTTAGTTCTAGTAATTTTATGAGTTCTATTTTTCCCATGACTCTTCCCATTTCTGAAGGTCCACCTTTGGCTTTCCTTGTGCACAGGGTTCTACCTTTTAGGTGAAATCCCTTTTAGGGATTCTTGTAATGGTTCTAGAAAAGTTGCAGCTTTAATCCAGAATTTCCAGGATCTCTGTCCATGCATAAAGATGAGTGCATCTCACCACAGACTCTCATTTTTGTGACTTCCCTGAACATCCTGACATAGGAAGCTCCCTACAAGCAATGAGGGAGGAGAGCTCAGCAACAGTCACAAGACAAAGGCTGCCAAGTCCCCAGTCATTTAGTGCAGTGCATTCTCCTTACATCAAGCAGGGGCCACCCAGCAACAAACACAAAGATCCACAAAGCTTCATGAGTGTGAAGTCAGGAAATTTATTTCAAGTTTGATATTTTTATGTTTTTGTTTCTCCTTTTTTAAAGCAGCTAAACTTTTTAAGCATCCCATTTCCCCTGGTAAACAACAGCTTCCTGTTTTTTTTTTTAAAGGAACTGATAGATACTCACAGAATGTTCCCTCCTTCACCACGACTCCTTCTGGATTTAAGTCCACTAGAGACGAAGTGTCAGGAGCAACCTGGCAGTGATCAGATCTACTTTGACATTATATAAAGGGCAAGATGCAGGTGTGTGCTCCCTGTTTGAACCACAGTGTTTCCAGAAAATTACTGGGTAACAGCAATATATTATTCAAGGGGATTTATGACTGGCAAATCCCAAAGGGAAATAGCATGCACTATCACATTTTTATTTGATCACAATTATGCAAGGGGCCTATAAATATCCATGCTGATCATTCACTCCACTGGCCTTTCCAGGGAGGTCCTGGAAGTGTTTGTTCCTCAAATGCTTTCCTTAATCTCATGTTTAATTGCCAGCAAGAGCACATTTAAAGTTTATAGTCACTCTTTAAAAATGAGTAATTGGTTCTTACCTGAAATTGTTTGCTAGCAAAAGGACCATGTCAAACTTACCCCAGATTAAAATGATGTAGCGCAGTGGAATGAAGTACAAAGTGATGGTGGCTACGGCCAGAATCAAACAGGCCAGGAATGAAAGGAACGGGACCGTCCAGTTAAACGTGCTGTAGACAAACCACATAAATTTTATTTCCTTTGATGCTCAACAACTTCTCGAGTTACCTTGTCATATGTATTTCATGCTCAGATATATAAAATGTCTACTTAAAATTTTTTTATTAAATACTTGCAGATACATATTAAAACATCACGCGGTGTTAATGCAGAAATGTTTGAAGGTAAAATGATTAGATTATGAAAGCTGTAACCCCTTTAGTGGATTAATTCATTTGATGAACTAATAATTTGAAAAGACTACTCCAGGCAGTAGGGATGTGCCTAGAGGAAGTAGATAGCTAGGGGCATGCCCTTGGGGATTATATTTCTTGTTTTCCTGGCTGCTGCTCTCTCTGCTTTCTGGCCTCCTTGAGTTTAGAAGCTTTCCTCCTTCTACCATGCTCTTCTGCCATGGTGATCTGCCTCACCTCAGGTCCAGAGCAATGGAGTTGGCTACCGTGGACTGAGCCTCTGAAACAGTAAGCCTGAATATACCTTTCCCTCGCCTAAAGTGTTTCTGTCAGGCATTTTGTCCACAGGGATGCAAGGCTATCACAACTCTCAGTGATTTAAAAACTGTGATACTGCCAAGACGGCTCTATGCATGGAGATCTTCAAAGCTTTGGTGGACTTCCTTTCAAATCAATATTTCTGTCAATGAAATACATAGTTGTAAATATTTTAAAAAGATTACTACAGTGCTTTCATGCTTCTGCATTCTCGAATATCTTCTGTTTAAAACTTCCAAGCTCATTTACTCTAAAAGGCAGAAATAAGGTGCTCTCAAATGGGTGGGGGGCATTGGCTACAAACCATCATACCACTAATCATAGGTATGATTTTACCATACAGTATTTTCATGGGGCTCTTTGCTCCTTTGGTTACAAGCATGGCTTGTTTGGTCTTGAAGATCTAGACCTTGGGATGTGGAATTCCATGTAATGTAAAGATTCTTGAGTAGTCCTAAAAATAGAGCCCTACTTAGGATACCCAGAGTAGTTCTTACTAATCTTCATCTTCCCATACAAATTTACATGTTTACTCTTTGCCTTGTACTAAAAAATACCAAGAGGTAAAGGTTTCTTCTGTTGTCTTTTGTATGAGTTGAGGCAAGAATTTGGGCAATTTTGGAGGAAGTAGCATGTAACAGTTATCAGGCATTTAATTTGTGCTAGTATTGAACATATATTTAAACTGCAATGCTCTTACTAATTCTGCTAAGTGTTATCCCCATTTTACAGATGAGCACACTGAGAGGCTAATTTGTATATAAACAAAATTCCATCAACAGTATCGAATGAGGTACCTCATACTCTTAAGACTATTATCAGTGTTTCATCTTTGCCCATGGAGATAACATTTGTGTATGCATTTAATTTTTTCTTTAAATTATAAGTAGATTTGAACACCTTTTAATATGCTTGTTGATGATTTTTATAGAAGTTATTAAGAAATAAGTTATTTCCTTGCTCAGCGTCACAGTATATAAAAGCATCTAAAAAAAGGAGTTTACAAGCTGAGCAAGTTTGGGAAAGTGACTACATCAATCTGAACTATAATTTCCTCTGTGCAAAATAGAAACAATAACACCTATGTCATAAATTTTGTTAGAATTAAATAAGAACTTGTATTTCAGTAGTTAGTTCAGTATTTGGCACATTATAAAATCTCAAAAAAAGGGGGGGGGGATGCAAAGGCAGTTACTATTTGTGAATTTTCCCTGAAGCTGTTTTGCTTGACTTTGTCATAAGTGTTTTAAAATATGTCTTTGGATGGTAAAGAAATTGGTCCTTTCTCATGTTTGTTATCATATTTTTCCAGTTAGAGGCTTTGTCCTTATTGTAAATTAAAATATTACCAAACTTAACACTGATTTTCCTTTTCCATTCCGGTATTTGGCCAGTCTTAGAAGATACCTTCCTGAGTTTAGTACAATGATGGAAAATTTTATAAAAATAACTGTTTCCCATACTCCTTGAATATGACATCTTTGTTACTTGTCATAGACTTGGTTGATTTTTATAATGAATGTAAATATTAAGTTTGGCACTTTTTTGCAATTTTAAAAAGTAAAAACATGAGTAGCAGATCCTGAATTGAATTTCCACATATACGTTGAAGCATTTCTGACCTCTCTCTTCTAGAGTAGAACATTTTGGATGGCAAATTTGCAGTATGTATTCTAAGGAATTTCAGAGGCAGTACACGAATGTCTGCTCCAGGCTGGTTTATAACACATACAAACAGGAAATAGCTCATTATCATTAAGGGGGGGAATCTCTAGAGATATATAAAGAAAAAGAATCGATAAAATACTCTAAAATACTACACAAATTTTAAAAACTGATATGATCTCCACATTCTACCATAAAGGCTCAAAACTAGAAAAGTGGAAAACAAATGCAGAAATAAATGTGCATATAATGATCATATAATCATTACTAAATATATACAAGTATCACATGTATAAGTTTATCATACTGAAAGAGAATCTGAGGATTTACTCCAAGTTAACCAATTCTAGTTAACAGTTGCTAAATATGATAGGGTTGGGGGAGAGAAAGAAGAAGGTAGAATGGGAGACTTGGTTGATTTTTATAATGGATGTACAAAAAAAATATTAAGCTTGGCACTTTTTTTGCATTTTTTAAAAGTAAAAACATGAGTAGCAGATCCTGATACAAATCTGCAGCTCTTTAGTCACCTCTGAAGATTATTTCTAAATCTAATAGTTTACAATTTGAAAATATCTGTTCCAAGCATCATGAACCATAAGCATAACCATAAGCAATGTACTCGACTTCTCTGTGCTTTATTTCTCCCATTTGTAGGATGAGAATAACATCTTCCCATCCTCTTGTGTAGATTTCGAGGAAATCAATGACTTAATAAATAGAAAGCATATAAAACAATATCTGGCACTTAGTAGGTATTCAAGAACTGCCCACTGCCCTCATTTTTTTGTTATTGCACAAAAGTGAAGAATATGAAAACGGATTATATCAGGTAGCATTCTGGAAACAGAAAATAATAAAAGCTACAAAATATGTCATATTACTTATGTAATATGACTTATTTTGTCAATAAAATCATGTAGTTCATTAATAAAACAACCAAATTGATTTTTAACTAAAAAACATGCTTTCTGCTGTTTTCTACATCTAGAAAATTACTTTTTAGACATAGATGTTTCCCCTCCTAGCAATACACCTTTAAAAATACAAGATAAATAGCCATCACTACACAAATATGAAAATAAGAAAATAGAATGAAAAATAAAATTAAAAGAACTCTGAGGTAATGAAGCTTCAAAGTCAGTTTTCATTCTAATAATTTCTGCAAAATATTGGGATTTTGAGCTTCTGTTACCAGCGTAGTGCATCGGGCCCAGGAGGTAAAGCCTAGAATACCCTCAAAAAAAAAAAAAAAAAAAAAATTGGGAACTACTGAATAAAGTTGATGTACGCAGGGTAAAGATGAGTGTGAGTAAAAGAATGAATGGAAGGAAGGGAAGTAAAGAAACTATCCATGAGTAGACATAGAGAACTATGCCTGTTGTCACTTTAGCACAAGCTAGAAAGAGTTGCCATCTGAGATTATGCTACCAGCGTAGACTGAAAAGCTTCAAGTATAAAATTTAAGGAAGATAAAATGATCCCATGTTGATAATATCCCAAGGTCACTCAAGAAATAATCATCCTGTGCCCGGCATGGTGGTGCACACCTGTAATCCCAGTGGCTTGGGAGACTGAAGCAAGAAGATCGCAAATTCAAAGCCACTCTCAGCAACTTAGGGGAAGTCTGTCTCAAAATAAAAAGGGCTGGGGATGTGGCCCAGCAGACAGCAAATTCCAAAGTAAAATACTGCAGGTAGAGATCCAAACCAGTATATTAAATGAAATATTAAATATAGTAAAAAGTCAAAATAGGGAATGAAAAATGACAAAGAAGCATTGAAAAATGAAAACTATAATGATTACAGTTAGAAATTCAATGAACAAAACAGAAGTTTTGCATAGGAATCTAGATAGTGCAAGATCATGCAAAGAAAATACTCAGCATCACAAAGCCCAAAACAAGGAATGATATCAAAGAGGTTCAGAGACATGGAACACAGACAAAGAAGGTTCCAGACAATTTTAGACCATGGGAAATCATGCTTTGAGTAGTGTGGCAACTGAAAGAATAGCAAGAGTGCGTTAGTGTTTCCATTCCTAGGAAATAGAGGGAAAATGTAGAACATAAAGAGCAAGGATGAAAAGTGTATTTAAAAAATCACAGGTTTAAATCTATAAAAGAACAGAAACTCTGAATAGACTACATGGTACAACTTGAAGTTTGTGATTGCCAGGTGCAGGACTGAGATCTTAAAAATGTATGTTTAAAGGGAAAACTGGAAAGGTATTTATCAGGAAGTAAAAGAGGAGATGACAAAACTACATAAAAAACCAAGAAGACAGGGAAGTTTTATTAGTTTTAAATAGGTTCCTTCATATTGATAAATAATTCAAGAAAATATGACAACTTTGACACATAAAAACGAAATATCAGCTTCCAAAACATAGTAAGCAAAAACAAAACCTCAGAGAAAGATAAATTCACAACCACAGTAGAAGGTTTTAACACAACTCTAATTGATAGAGGTAGCCAACCAAAGTTCAAAGATACTATACATGTAAAAGGTCTGAACATGAGAAAACCTAACAAGCAGATAGCACAATACACCCAATAATCTACTTTTCAATCTTGAACAAAAAATATGCAAAAGTAGGCCATAGTTGTATCACTATTTTGTGAACTTAAAGTAATTTAACTAAAAACCAGAAATAATAACTAGAAAATCCCCAAAGTGTATTGGAAATTAAGCAATACACTTCTTAGCCAAGAAAAAAATCAAACTAGGAATGAGAAAATGGCTTTACCTACATTTGAAAAAAAATTAAATTACTACATGCCAAAATGTTTGGCATGGAATAAAAGCTGTGTTTACCAAAAGTCATAGAACTTTAAACATTTACATTAGGAAGAAAGATTGAAAATAAGTGACTTAATCACCAATGTTAAAGAGGCAGAGAAAGAATAATACATTAAGGCCAAAGAAAAAGATAGAAACAGAAGATGAGCATAGTAATTGCTGGTTCCTTCCAAGGACTAATTGATAAATGCCTGTCAAGAAGAAAAGAGTGTCTGGGGTGGGGTCAGGGGACAATAAAAATCACAACAGTAGACCAGCTACAGATTTTGATAAGTTACAACATATAAATAAAATGGACAGACTCTTTAAAAATTACAGGCTTACATAAACAGATGAGAAAAAATGGAAAACACATGAAGAATATATAACAACCTGAACATTTAATTAAAAACCTCAGAAAGAAAACTGCAAGCCCAGATACCTCACCAGCAAAACTACCAGGTATTACAGGAAATGACTCCAGACTTACACACAATTCTTTCCAGGGAATAGACAGAGGACAGTCCATCCAACCTTGTTTTATGTATTTAAAACCTTCTGTATATGAAGTATTTTCACAAATAGAAATTTATAAATCAATTTCATTAATGATTATGGCTACAAAAATACTAAGGGGGCAGAAATAGTAAATAGAAACAAGCACTATATGAAGGAATTGCATAACAGAAAAGCTGGATGGTTGAATATATTCCAGCAATGTAGATTGGCTTTATACTTGAAAAACAATCATTATATTACACCATATTTAAAAAAAATGGAAGGAGTCACATATGATCCTCTCCATGAATGCAGAAAAAAGAAATGTTTGACAAAACTGAACTCACATTCATGATGTAAAATTCTGAGCAAACTAGGAATAAAAGGAAATTTCTTTAATTACATAAAGCATCTTTACAAAACCCAACAGACAATATCAATCTTAAGGGTGAACTGTTGAGACCTTTTTCTCTGAAACTGTATAAGAAAGTGAATGCCCGTGAGCTCCAGTTCTGTTCAGCACTGTCCTATAACTACAAACCAGCAGTATTGTAGGGCACAAAAATTAAAATATGTAAGGACTGGAAAACTGAAAATTAGATGATATGTTAATTTAATAGATAATCCAAAATGATCTTCCTAAGAAAATTATGATAACTAAGTTTACCAAGGCTATTAGATATAACGTAGTCAATGTAAGAAAATTAACTTCACTTCTACAAATAAATAAGAGGTAGAAAATAATACCAAACAAACCAAATCTTTAGGACTCTATCTCACAAAAAATTCAGAGTTTACATATAAAGAAGAATATTAAAAAATACAGATAGAAATGACCAGAATAATGGAAGAAGACAACAAATTTATATATGAGGAAACTTAAATTTTGTCACCATACCAACTTTCTTCTAATGGGTGCAGTCCTAATAATGATCCGAATACAGTTTGTGTAAGATGAGTCATATAGATTTATGTTGGATGCAAGAAATGGAGTTGTGCATCAGACATCCTGACAGATTTGTCCTCCCAACAGCCAAGTAATAGACTTTTCCCCTCAGTAACCCACAACCTTAAAGTGCTTTCAAAAACTGAGGTGTTGTGGGGGCGGGGTAACATTCATTGGGTTTAAGACACAGAGGAAGAAACTTGAGGTAATTTATAAAGAATAGTATGTGATTACAACATGCCACCCAGAGATAGATTCCTAAGGATGTGTGCTTTTGTTATTCTCCCCAAAAAATGTTCTCTAGGAATAACTGGTTTTTTTTCCTCTTCACAGTGAAAGACTCACCCAAGATCACTTACTCCCTCTGACAGAACTCAAAAAATCTGAACTCAAAACCGTGGCTCCAGAGCCACTGTTCATTTTCTGCCATGTCTCCTACATGGTATCTTCCTCACACGTGTGTAGTTTTCACACTCGCTTATGAATGCTTTCCTCACACCTGGTTGCTGGTTCCCTCAGTGGTCTTTCTGTCTCTGTTACTTTAGGCATCTTATTCTCAAACGCAAAATCCAACCATCAGTCATTCCCAATGGCCTTCCATTGGGAATGTGATTTCAGCTACTTTCCCATCTACATGGGTGAGGATTTCATAACATCAGTGCTAGCAAGGACAGTAACTCCAATTCATATGAATGTACCTTCTAAGATTTATTCTGGAATATGTGTAGAAATGGCTTACTCTGGCCTTAATCTCATCTCCTCCATGGAGGTGACTTTGCCACTAAAGGTTTGAAGCCATCATTCAATGATGATAAAACAGACAATATACATCACTCTTTTGACCCATGCTCTCTACTAATATAAATGCTGCAAGTTGAATAAATGTTTCAGTCTGACATATCTGTATATTTAAAATGTGCCTAATATTAGAGAAGTTGATTAGAGAAGGTAGAGTAGGAAAAAAGAAAATAGTTTATTATTCCATGCAAATATAGCCCCACTGGGTTTCTCCCAGTTAGTGGCAGTGCTCTGAGAGTTTTATGCAACTGTGTTTATTTGCTAGTTGCCAAAAGTTGGGTAAAAGTCTTCCTGGTTCTTGAGCACTGAATTCCAATAGAGTTACACATGAAATCCCTCTTGAATGCACAGCAGGGACTCTAAGGTCACTATAATCATGAATGGCCAAAGAATTAATAGGAGTTGAGCCGTATGAGCCTTCCTGTGTTGCAGCTGGGCAGAACAGAGCCCTGTTGATGGGTTGAAAATGCATCCCAGACATGGTCACCGCAGCTGTGCTGGGCACAGCTGCCCCTCAAAAACACCGTAGAGTCGAGAGTCTGTTTAAATCCCTCTGCCCTCTTGTCTCATCAGACACATTTCCTTTAATGTTATCAACTGCACAACAGCTACGCTTGTGTTTTAGAGACCTTTAAGAATGGACCCAGTTTTACCAAACCACATGGTCTTCCTTCCTTGGCCTTGCCCCTACTCCACAACCTCTCACCCTCCTTGCTGCCAGTAGTTCATCTTTTTTTTTTTTAATTGACTTTTTCCATCCCCTGAAGGCCCTGCATGAAACACCTCATCTCCAGGCATTGCCAACTCTATCCCCTATGGCAGGGACATATTGAGTCCTCCATCTTCCTGTATCTACCCATCTTTTGCTTTGAGCTGGTGCACACAGGCTCGCACCTACTGAAGGCCCCACTCCTCCATTCCTTGCCCAGTTATCTCTTCCTATTCTTGCAAATACTTATAAGTTGTTGCTGCTTCAACAACTGTTCCTTGCTGTGTCCCCTGCGTCCCTTCTGGGGTGGGTCTGTCCTCTTCAGCAGCCTGTCTTACCTCGTTCCACCACCAGTGCTACTGAAATCTATTTGGCAATTAGTGATTTTCCCCCCTCATGGAAAAGCAGAGAATAATGACAGGATAGTATAATAGTGAAGAGAAATGACCAATAAGATAAGTGTTAATTCTTAGAACATTCCTGGCACAATTCTGGATTAAAGGAGGAAAGAAAACCTCCCTGTTTTAATGGTACCAAATGAAGAGCATGTAATACAGATTTTAATGTGTGAAAAGAACATGAATCATAGTCTTAACTTGGACTCAGTTAAAGAAGTTATCACGTATGCTCAAAAGTGAAGAATGATTTGGGTTTGAGTAAAACCCAGCCTGCCTTCTTTGTAAATAAAGTTTTATTGGAACACATGTAACATACCCAGTCATTTATGTATTGACTGTTCTATTTTTATGCTTAAGTAACACACTTATGTAGTTGTGTCAGATTATGAAAATATTTACTCTTTGGCCCATTACAGAGGAGTTTGTCAACTCCTATCCTATGCCATGCACGTATGCACTGAATTGACTTGGTGTCTACCCATCTATGACAGTGTTAACATTGTACAATTTTTTGGAGAATTGAGTGAAAAAAATTTCACAGTGTTTTGAGGTTCCGATATAAAAAGTCTCTGTTAAAGCATACTTGCTTCCTTTTTTATTTCTGCAGAGGGCAATTCTATTTTTTTAATCTATAATTTATCACCCAAACCAGGATATTTCTGAAAGTGAAAGAGGACACTATTAATAGTTATGCTGGGACAACTAGTGTAAACTAAGCCATATGGTCACCCTAGTTCTGAGGCACCACCCAACTGTGAAGCTGACAAGCCCAAAGAACAAGCGACCAAAGTCAAACTGGTTTGCACAACACCACTGCTTTTGTTTTTTGCATTTTTCTGATCACATTCCCCCTTTCTCCCATCATCCTTGTGGGTGGCAAATCTACTTTAAATACAACATACATGCAGAACTTACTTTTTAATTCTTTCTCCAAAAGAAGCTATTTCCTCCAAGATGTTTTGAACAGTGGAAACGATATCTTGTACCATGTAGATTCTCTCAATTAACCCCTTTCTCTCAGATTCCTGGAAAACATGAAAGATACAAATCAGTAACTTCATTTCTCATCATTCCGTTATGGAAATTATTATGCCATGCTATAATAACATAGTTTTAACCAACAGAATGATTTCAAGAGATCACATTTTTCACAACTTTAATGTTTATTGACTCCCAAGATGATTATCTGTTCACTTACCTTTCATTCATAGTGTCCAAGCTCCATCGTTACCTCAATATCATGTAATGAATGGAAGTCTTTTGGAACTGGGGACTTCAGTTCCCTGGGGACTTGTTGATTGCCTCAGAGAAATCTGCAATTCCTTAAGTATGGCCAACTGGTTTCCTCTGTCCACATAAGGTTACATGTAAATTCACCCCAGTCCTCTTCTATCACAGTCCTTCAGAAATGCTCCCATAGAGACTGAAAGGTCATGTTGGACTTACACATAATATGCTTCCTAGACCTGTGACTTCTGAAACTCTGATTACCACCCAGACACAGAGCAAGCACAGACAGCCACAGTATATAGTGCTAAGGGCTGCAGGCTAACTAAGTTATGCCTTGAAGGATGCTCAATAGTTTTGATTTCTTCAGAAAGTTGGAAGCAAATATAAGTTCATCTTCCTCAGTTTCCAATTCTTCCCACAAATGAATTCAGCTTTCATGTAGAAAACTTTATATTTTACCATACTAGGTAGCTATAATGCTATAAAAATAGAAATCACTCAAGTGTTTGAGGAAGGATAATTCCCTAGAGAGTTGTAGTTTTACACTGTTTCTTATATTTTGCTGGTATGTGCTAGCTTCCCTGTAATTGGGATTTATTCAGTGTCCTGCTGTCTGAGTCATTGTTGTCACTACACCAGCTACATGAAACCTCAAGCAACTCTATAAAACTTATTTCTTGTCTAGAATTTTACTTTGGTTAGAATTATGCTAAATTACTGAACAAAAGCTTCTAAATTTAAGGAGGACATTCCTATAATAAAAAAATTATTTTCATCCTATAATCCCTGCTCCAAATCAAAATGGAGCCATGAATGGAGTGAAGGAATATCCATCACCCTAAGGATTTCTCGTAAAAGCACCAATGTGGCAGAAATATTGAGAAGTACATGCTTCCTTTCTTGCCTCTGCCCTTGTTTGTGAATCTGAAATTGAAACAGACCAAAAAGAGAATCAGGGGTTTCATGCACCTTTGCCAGCCTCTCTCTTATGAAGGGTGCTGGTTGGGTGTTTAAATACAATATACGTACAGAACTTTTGGTAACTTCCTGCCATCTGGCCTACATTTTTATAGTATCAGTTGGTAGTCCTCCATCCAATCAATACATAAAGAAAGCAAAGTAAGGTTTATCATTTCTTCTTGTACCATCAAACTTCGAAGATATTTTCACTTTTAACCCTAATTTTAAATGCTTACTTTCCCTTACTACAATTCCTCAAGCAGTTTTTGTTAAAAATTAGATATGCTGCCACAGCGACCTAATTCACAATCAGCAACCCACTGATATGTTTTAAGGAGTACAATGGTGAAAACCCATCTCTGTCTGCCAAACAAGTATTCACATTTGTAAAGAAGTATTTGAAAGCACTGGGGAATTTGACCCAAAGGGCAGAAGTGGCTTCCTCTTTTCAGTGGCATCCAGTTTAGGTCAAAACAATTTCTTGGAAAATGACTCAAATTTCCATGTGACTGAATTGCATAAAAACTTCCTATTTCAGTTGTCCAATTTTTTTTCCCCTACGAAACAACCAAATACAAAGGTTCTGGTTGTGAAGAAAGCATGAATTAGCACATCAAAATAATAAATGAAGTGATTCCCCAAATATCCTTTTGGTTTTTATCGCATTTGATGTTTTAATTTGAATCTTCAGTAGCCAAAGATGAGGGTAAAGAGCACCACTGTATCTAGGGTCAAGGAATAACTTATCAGCCATACCTGTGTATTTTAAGGGTGAAAACAAATGAAATTATATAATTTTTAGAATATTTACCAACTAACAACTTGGTTTACTTACACTGAAGAACTAGAAATTCATTTTTTATAAACATTGTTTCAAAACATAAAAATATTTTGTGTGCATTAAAACAAAAACTTCTATTTATGCTTATTATGTGACTGTTTTATAATCTGTGAAGAATAGCTATTAATAGAAAATAATCATATATTTTGGCTGATTTCCTAAGTTGTATCTGTCAATACTTCCACATAAAAGTTACTTTTCAAAGAAAATACATTTATAAAGTCATCTGTTCATTTCTAATATTAAGTAAAATTGTTCTTAATCATCTTCAAAGTTTAGTGGTTATTAAATTGACATCTTATAAGCCCCACCATAGACCATAATTAAAATAAAATCTCTCTACAAGCACTTAGATACCTTGAGAACTCACAAAAATGTAATACATGGAGAATATTCTCCCTTCTCTATGTTAAATATTAAATGTCTATTTCAGTCCAAATATTTTCAAGGCCATTGTATTTTTATATCCATCCATATGACTTTATCTGTCAAACAATTTTCAAGACAATATAAGATGTCTCTGTGATTCCTTTGAACATTTAAGAAAATTTATTGCAAAATACAAATGGCTTCTCAATTTCTTTCCATTTCCTGGCAGAATATATTTTTATCCTAACAAAAATCAAAAGATTTCCCCCACTCTTTGAAATAATCTAAAGTGTCACTTCAGATTTTAAGAAGAAAATGGTGCATATAGCATTTTGACCTCATAGTTTATTTTGAACCATATACACTTTTGCTTTGGTAGAGAATAAGAGTTGCCTTTTTGACACCTTTTTATTCACTTCTGTTCATGAAAATTTCCAATAGTGAAGTTAATTAGCACTTTAGTCATTAAAAATGTCCAAATAATTATGACAAAAATGCATCAAAAATCTAAAAGTTTTTTTTACAAGAGAAATAGCTTTAGAGAACGTATAGTTTGAGAATTATTTAGAGTTTCAAGTACTCCAAAAATCAAAGGGATGATGGGCAACAAAAGATACATTTGCTGCTAGGCTGAAACTTACGTTTAACATATCTTTATATATATATGTGTGTGTGTGTATATATATTTTATTATATATATGTATATGTGTATATATATATATATATATATATATAAAAGAGGTAGGGTGTATAGCTCAATGGTAGAGCATATGCCTCACATAAAAAGATATATATATATATATATAAATTTATATTTATATATATAAAACTTTATTTTATAAATATATATAAAATTTGTAGATGGACACAATACCTTTATTTTATTTGTTTATTTTAATGTGGTGCCAGGGATCAAACCTAGAGCCTCACACATGCTAGGCAAGTGCTCTACCACTGAGCCACAACCCCAGCCCCACCTTTAGCTTATCTTGATCACAAATCCTTATTATCTCTATTTGGTACATATGAGACATGCACAGCTGTGTGCACTACAACCTCTAATTGAATTGGTTGGTATTATCACTTGCATGCATGTGATCGTGGATAATGAGGGCACCACTGCCAATCCCAAGTACATTTCTGCCTCATGGGTTCCTTATTTTGGAAGAGTATCTTGTTAGTTATGATGTGCTCCATCAAAATTTACATTCCTATTACTAAGAAATTAATCATCAATGCCAAATATTAAAATTTGCAACGTCATGCTTGATGTCAAAGATTTTATTATTTATAAAATTCACTGCAAGAGGCAGGGGGTATAGCTCAATGGTAGAGCATATGCTTTGCATGCCTGAGCCCTGGATCAATCTCCAGCACCCCAAAATATTTACTTGCAAAAGATTTTTTCCATATATGAAAAAATCCAGATGATTTCAGAATTAACTTATTTGAAAATCTGAATACTTTCAAGGAAGATTAACAACAGCTTTCCTATTTTTAATACATGTACAATGAAACTGGAATAGAAATGGATTAATGTGGAAAAAGTCATTTGATTTAAATAAAAAGTCATGTCCCACAAAGAGAGATGTAAATATACATTTTTAGTTGTATTATATTTTTAAATATTTTCATAAATAGTTTTCTTAAATATGTATTTTCTGTTGAAATAGCTATTGTGGCTTCCTCTGCCACAATAAGCTTACCTATGTCAATGACATAAGCAGGGTCTTTGGGGTGGTTAGGAAATGGAAGCAACATATACAAGTTTGCTATGTTTGGATGTGGTTTCTCCTGTAAACAGTTCACATGCTGCAGGCTTGGTTCTCAATGTAATGGTATTAAGAGTTGATGGATCTTTTAAGAGGTGGGGCCTAATGGGAGGTTGATTTGGTCATGGGGTTACCACCTTTGGAAGGAATTGATATTCTCACAGGAGAATATCATATTTCTCATGAGAGCAGGTTGTTGGAAAGCAAAGCCACTCCATGTAGCCATGTTGCCATTTGCATTTTTATTTCCCACATTGGAAGACAGCTGGAATTAGACTTTCCAGCCATCAGAATTTTGAGCCAAATAAGTCTCTTTACTTTACAAATAATCTAGTCTTAGGTATTTCGTTATAGCAATATAATACAGACCAAGACACAGTTAGTTCAACAACACCTATATTTAGAATTAGAAAATCAGTACTTGATTATTCATTAAGTACACTTTGTATTTTTACTATTTATGGATTTAAAAACATTATCAGTTTTTAAAAGTTCATATTTACTGAATATAATGAATCAATCCACCCATGCAAAGAGGAAGTTAAAGATAGGATACCTAGGAATATCTAGGTTGTTTTGTTAGATTTAACTATTGTTACACTTTGAGAACTCTGGTCTCAACCTATGTATTTCTGGGTTACCAGTAATGACCTTAAAAGATGCTAAAAGTATACCATGAAAAAGCCCAAGAAAATTATTTCAGCTTGTTTTAATAGAAATATAAAATTTAATACTTGGTTTAAAAATGGGGTAAATCATTAAGTGGGAATTTTCTGGCAAACAGAGATATGTGATAAGCATAATAGGTTTTCTCTAAAATGTATTAGTATAGAAAGGAACCAATTCCTTTCAG